GTTACGATCAAGGTTCAAGGCAAAGGAAAAAAAACAAGGTACTATCACAGAGTACCTTTGGGTTAATGCTCAGAGTACCTTTGTATAAACTGAAATTAATGCAGGTAAATGTATTCTGTGGTGGTATATACAGAGTAATTTATGTACTAAATGGTACAAAAAACCGAAAACCAAAGACATTTTGACATATTGGGAAACCAAAAACTTTACTTCATAGTGCTTCATAGTGTAGGGCACACAGTGCAGTGGTGCATAGATTACTGTATATTGTCCGTTCATCTTAACTTGACGCGTGAGTGATTGGTAGCACTGTTTCCTTAGCCGTCATTTTTCTTTGAACTTGATCGGTTGCTATCTGTGTGCTCTTTTGCTTCTTAATTATGTAATCTTAGTTTTAAAAATGCTGAAAGTGGTTAAATTTGCTAAAAGACAAACTATTCTTCAAGTTTATGCATTTTTGTAAAAAGAAAAGGCTGAAAACAAGCTGATTTAGCAATTGCAACATGTTCGTGCCCGAATTGCCGCCATGGCCGGTATATTTTTAGGGTGACCAGTTACAAAGATTTAGACTAACAACAGTTGGTAAAATGCTAAATGATATTAAAATAATTGTATGTGAAGAAATATATATATACCTATATATAATAAAAAATTTAATGAAATGAACAGATATATCTGCCTAGCGATTTAATTACTTGAATAAAATTGAAAGAATATCGAGAAGAGTGGCGGACTATAGTCTACTTAGATGAAACATTTATGCATTATTCTTAAGTCTGAGTTACTGCTATTCAAGTCACAAACTAAATCATCAGACTACCATAACGACTGTTTTACCAAACCTGCCACGTAATTGTGTGATTGTGATGGACAATGCACCATATCACACTGTTCAAACATATAAAAGCCCTAATATGGCAAGCCTCAAAGTAGATATGGTAGAGTGGCTTCAAAACAAGGGACTGTTGTTTTCACCAAATTTGCCAAAAATGTTTTAAAAGCTGAAAAATTAATTAAATCACATGGTCATAATGTTTTGCAACTGTCCCCATATCATGCGCATTTAAATCCAATTGAGGTAATGATGATCAAAAGTAATCATTTATAAAAGAATTGTTTGGCTCAATAAGCAATCAGCTTTAGAATAAAGAGTGCTCACATGTTACAAAAATTGAAGATGAGTACATAGTGAAAGATAAAATAATAGTTGAAGGAAGTGATCGCTTTTTATTGTGGATTAGCAGTGACACTGACGAAAGTGATAGTGACAATGAGCATCCAAGTAACATTGAAGAAAATATGATCACTTTACACCTTATTGATCATAATTATATAAAGTGATTCTTTTAACCCTGTCTTAATTAATTTAACCTGAATATCCCCATTTATATATGAATTGTTTCAGAGAGTACACTATGACACTTAAAAAGTCACGTAAGTATAGTCATCAGCACCTCCGTAGTAACAGTTGAATTTCGAAATTAATGCCCTTACTCATACGAAATAAAGACGTTTTTAAGGCTTAACTGTTAGTCCTAATTGCGTTCGACTGTACATGCCAAGTTTGAACCCGCAACCTCGTGCTTGAGATGCATGCATACATGCTATTATATTTTGTTCCATAATACCTGTCCCTATATTTCGGGAACGCCATTCGCATTGAAACATGTGATTTAATTAATTTTTCAGCTTTTAAAACATTTTTGGCAAATTTGGTGAAAACAACAGTCCCTTGTTTTGAAGCCACTCTACCATATCTACTTTGAGGCTTGCCATATTAGGGCTTTTATATGTTTGAACAGTGTGATATGGTGCATTGTCCATCACAATCACACAATTACGTGGCAGGTTTGGTAAAACAGTCGTTATGGTAGTCTGATGATTTAGTTTGTGACTTGAATAGCAGTAACTCAGACTTAAGAATAATGCATAAATGTTTCATCTAAGTAGACTATAGTCCGCCACTCTTCTCGATATTCTTTCAATTTTATTCAAGTAATTAAATCGCCAGGCAGATATATCTGTTCATTTCACTAAATTTTTTATTATATATAGGTATATATATATTTCTTCACATACAATTATTTTAATATCATTTAGCATTTTACCAACTGTTGTTAGTCTAAATCTTTGTAACTGGTCACCCTAAAAATATACCGGCCATGGCGGCAATTCGGGCACGAACATGTTGCAATGGCTAAATCAGCTTGTTTTCAGCCTTTTCTTTTTACAAAAATGCATAAACTTGAAGAATAGTTTGTCGTTTAGCAAATTTAACCACTTTCAGCATTTTTAAAACTAAGATTACATAATTAAGAAGCAAAAGAGCACACAGATAGCAACCGATCAAGTTCAAAGAAAAATGACGGCTAAGGAAACAGTGCTACCAATCACTCACGCGTCAAGTTAAGATGAACGGACAATATACAGTAATCTATGCACCACTGCACTGTGTGCCCTACACTATGAAGCACTATGAAGTAAAGTTTTTGGTTTCCCAATATAATGTCTTTGGTTTTCGGTTTTTTGTACCATTTAGTACATAAATTACTCTGTATATACCACCACAGAATACATTTACCTGCATTAATTTCAGTTTATACAAAGGTACTCTGTGCATTAACCCAAAGGTACTCTGTGATAGTACCTTGTTTTTATTTTTTTTATTCCTTTGCCTTGAACCTTGATCGTAACTGTGTGTTTTTTTTTTGTATTTACTTTAAGAAAAACGATGTCTGTTGCTGTTAAAGGTATGTATGTAATAAAAATCCGTAGAAGCAATCTGTGAGAAGATTAGGTTTTCGTAAAAATAAAACTTTGGCTTTGATAATACTAGATAAAGTTAAGGGGTCAAACTCCAAATAAATTTGAAAAGTGTATAAACTGTGTTTTGAAGTTTCTTTTGAAAAATACACGATTTCTAAATGTTCAACGTTACATACTCTACAAAATACATCGACCGTGCCAATATTTCTCGAGAAAACGTCTTCGAGTACCGGAACAAACTTGTGTCTGAAGTCGAGTCTTTGCTGAACCAAGTCTCGGATTGGGAGCGACTAAATCTAGTCTAGTTCAATCCGTAAAAAATAAACCCTTTTGTCGTATCTCCTCAGTTTCAAGACACTTCCTTTGTTGCCTCAGCCAATATCGGAATTCTCGGCGTCGAAATATCCAACGATGTGCAGTTTCGTGGTCACTTGGAAGAGAAGGCCAAATTGGCCTCTAAAAAGCTTAGCATGCTCAGCAGAGCGGGACAGTATTTCATGCCGGCACACCGCCTGCAACTTTACAAGGCGCAGGTTTAGCCTCACATGGAATACGGTTCCCATCTCTGGGTCGTGCACCCCAGTGCCAGCTCTTTCCTCTTACCGCATCCAGCGCGGAGCATCTCAAATTGTTGAAGACGGATTCTTATACGATCGGCTCAATTCACTAGTGCTGTGAAGGGTATAACTATATACATCTGGTACTTGCGTAGGGTGTTAGAGGGTGGGTGCAGGAAAAGCCTCTCCCCCTCTACACTTCCCCCCTTGTGGAAAGTATAGTTTTTGAGTAATGATTTTTGTTTGTAAAATCATAACCTCACTTTTTCACAGGAATGTTGACCCAAAGTTACTTCTGCAACACCTTCGGCGCTGTAGGAAGTGCAGCTCCTCCGCCCTTGCGTAACAAGTCACACACACCCATGCTCATCTCCACAGATTTTGCTTATTAGTCACCTTTGGTGACTAACCTCGGCTGCTACGGCTCGTAAAGGTGCCTGCAATTTGCTACAGAGGGTGGGGGCTGTACTCCCTCAGCGCCTACGGCTTTACTAAAACACTAGGGGTTGTGCAGACAACATTGTGGAATCTGTCGCCTTTAAGGGACATTCAGCAGTATGTTTGTTGGTGCTATCGCTGGCATGCTTTACTAATCAAACAGTAACTGGGTTTACTGTGTTTGTGTTTATATTAAATCTTGTGGTACCTTGCTCTTTAAGCGTCGCGCTTTGTTGTGGTTTGCCATGAGTGGCCGGGCCAGAATATTTGGATGACGTTCGATGCACTCTTTATAAGTTCTAGTATGGCGTAGGATTTCCTGTTTCACAGTAGGCAGGCGTAGATCATGATGTAGTAATTCGTTGGGCACATACCAGGGGGCATTAGTTATCATTCGGAGTGCTTTATTTTGAAACCTTTGTAAGATTTCGATGTTTGAATGGGATGCAGTACCCCACAGTTGGATTCCATACGTCCAAATAGGTTTCAGTATTGCCTTGTACAGAAGTATTTTGTTTTCTAGAGACAATTGAGACTTTCGTCCTATGAGCCAGTAGAGTTTTCGCGTTTGAATACCGAGTTGCTTTCTCTTAGTGAAAATATGTTTTTGCCAGGTAAGTCTTTTGTCCAAGTACAATCCAAGGTATCTCACATGATCTGCCTGTGGAACTACAATGTTGTTAAGTGTGACTGGGGGGCAAGAGCCCCTTCTTAGGGTGAACGTTACATTGACTGATTTGGTTTCATTTGCTTTTATCTGCCACTTTTTGAGCCAGTGGGATATGTCATTTAGCCCTTTTTGAAGCATTTGTGACGCTATTTTTGGGTCGCTATGAGTAGCCAGTATAGTGGTGTCGTCAGCAAAGGTTCCAGTGATTAATGATTCGGATGTCGGCAGGTCCGCAGTGAAAAGTAAATAGAGTATGGGACCCAGTACACTGCCCTGCGGGACTCCTGCTCTTATATGGTAGAGATCTGACAGAGCTTCCCCTTGTTGTACTATGAAATGGCGCTGCTGGAGAAATGATTTTAATATCCCGTAAAGGTGATCTGTTAGTGCATTTTTCAATTTAAATAACAATCCCTCATGCCACACGCGGTCAAACGCTTGAGATATGTCCAGGAATGCACTGGCGCAGTAAGATTTACCTTCCAGCGACTCCATGATGTATTTTGTTAGCCTGTGCACTTGGTCGATAGTGGCATGCTTACTGCGGAATCCAAACTGGTGGTCAGGGATTAGCTCCTTCTCTTTGAGTATAGGCAAGATTCGTTGTAGCAGTAGGGATTCATATATTTTGGATAGGATGGGAAGCAGACTATGGGCCTGTACGATTTTGTTTCTTCAGGTTGTCTCTCTGGCTTTAGCAGCATTACAATTTGTGCGACCTTCCACTCCAGGGGAAAAAACTGCAGTCTGGTCATGGCATTAAATAGTGAAGTAAGGAAAGTTATGCCAGATTCAGGTAGTTCTTGTAATATCCGGTTTGTAATGAGGTCGTATCCTGGAGCCTTTTTTGGGTCTGATTTTCTAATAATTCGAGCAACTTCTGTTTTTGTAAATTTAAGAGGCATTTCCTGCGTATCTTTTGGGTTATTTGAATGGTTAGTAATTTCTGCTGCATCTTCTGGTGAGCCGTCATATGGGTGAGGGGTAAAGACATTGGAGAGGTGTTCTGAGAAGGTTCTGGCTTTCTCCTGGTCTGTCCGCGCCCAGGTACCTTCTGGTTTTCTTATAGGAGGAGAGACGTTGACAGGCCGTTTTAGTCTTCTGGTGGCTTTCCACAAAGAGTAGTCCGAGGAAGCAGTAGTATCCAGGCCGGTAAGGTAATTGTGAAATCCGTCATTACAATCTTTCTCTAGGACGTGTTTTAGCTGCCTGTTGGCGTGATTGAGTTGTTTTTTCGCCACAGGATCTCTGGTTGTTTGCCAGCGTTTTCGTATCCTCCTTTTTTTGATTATTTTATCGAATATGTGTTTCGGTACGTGGGTATCCAGGTTTCTAGATTGAGGTGGTGGGGTCGATGACCAAACTGCATCTTGCACACTCTTGTTGAAGTATAACACCGCTTCCGTTATTTCGTCTTCCGATTTTAGGCTAACTGGTTCTTGGAATGCTTTGTCTGTGAGCTCACGAAATAGAGACCAGTTAGTTCTATTGTTATGCAGAACACATTTTCTGGCGCGTTCTTGGGGGATGGTATGTAGTTCTACTATGATTGGAGAGTGGTCTGAAGATAAGTCCCAGCAACTCTGGCACAATATGACGTTCTTAGCGATTCCTTTGCTGACACAAAAATCTACAACATCTGGGATTTTTCTCTTGTCTGTTGGCCAGTAAGTTGGTTGACCCGACGATACCATGTTCATATTTCTTATTTGTATGCATTTAAGGAGTTCACGCCTTCTGGGTAGAACAAGCCTGGAACCCCAGAACATGTGCTTGGCATTATAATCGCCTCCTGCGATAAACCTGCCTCCAAGTGATTGAAAGAAGTTACTGAACTCCGATTCCTTAATAGTGAATCTAGGTGGACAATAGAGGGCCGATATTGTAATATCACTAATCCAGTCTGTTACCACGACATTTGTTGCCTGGATGTAGTTTTTGCAGTAATGTTGTAGTACATGATGCCTGATGTTTGACCTGATAAAAACGGCCGATCCTCCATGTGCTTTGTTATCTGGGTGGTCAGTATGGTACATGTATCCTGGTAGGCTAAAGTGGCTTTTGGATGTGAAGTGGGTTTCTGAGATTAGTAAAACATCTATGCGGTGCATTTTAACGAATATTTTTAACTCTTCCGAGTGGTTTGACAAGCCATTAGCATTCCATACACACAATTTTAGTGCTGTGAATGTGATGGAATTTTTGAAATTAATTCGGTTAGCGTTTTGGTCATGATTAACATTTGATTCATCAAGGCAACAAGTGTCTCCTTAATAATTTGGAGCTCACTCGTGTTTTGGTTTCCATCCTTAGTGTTCGTTGTTTGTGTTGTAGGTTGTCCAGGGACTTCTTGTGTGGCTTGGGCATACGATTTTTCGTTATTTGTTGATTTGTCTGTAGGTTCTTGTTCCTTTCTAGTGTATCCAGGGTTTTTCCTAACTTTGGTGATTGGATGGGGATATCGGACTTTCAAGTTCTTTGTAGACTGTGCAACCTTTGTAGTTAGCTGGATGGTTTCCCTCACAGAGGACACATTTAACCTCTTTTGATTTGTCTTTCCGTAAGCAAGCTGAAGTGTGGTGCGAACCTGCACATTTGACGCATCTGGGCTTTCTATTTCAGAACTTTTATGTGTGGTTGTAGTCTTGGCAATTAGTGCATTGGGGGATTACTCGCCTTGGTCTAGGTGCTTCAAATGATATGCGACAGTGTAGTAGATATTTGACGTTATATATGTCTTTATTATTTTCGCGGGGCTCCAGTTCGATGTTCCACATTGGTAGCGCCTGTTTTTTTCTTGAGTTTTGGATGTTCCAGACATTTACTACTTTGTGGTGAAGCTCCTCAATAGCTATTTTTATATCCTCTTTGTCTGTAGATGGGTGTAGATGTTTTAGCACAACTCTAAAACTGCGGTCTTGTTTTGGTTGGTAACTATAAAATTCGGTATCTTTAGCCTTTAGTTCTTTATAAATGGTGGAGTATGATTCGGCTGATTTTGGTTGTATTTTAACTCTGTCACCTCGTAATACCTTGATTTCATATTCTCCTTTTTGATACGTCTTCTAATAGTTTCATCAAGGGTTGTATATTCTTGACTCCGTCAATGAATAGTGGAGGGGGTCTTGTGGGCTTCGGTGTTTGTATTTCAGGCTTGTCTGCTTGCTCTATAACTTCGAGTCCTTTGAATCGATTGGATGTTGGTACTGCTGGTGTTGCAAGCCAGTAGTTCACTTTTGCCTGCTTTTGATTGCGCATAACTGCATCTGGACTGGATCTTTGCCTTTTGCCGCAGTACACTTCTGTGAACAGCTGTTCTTCGGATTCTTTATCTGTTTTATCTGCCAGTTCGATGTTCCCTTGATTAGTTGCTCCACTAAAGGAGCTTGATCTTGGGCGGTTTGTGAACATTCCTTTATGGAAGAGTTGTTGGGTCATAGTTTTTGAGTTACTCTTATCTAATTTTTGTTCGTTTTCAGGGTTATAATTGCTCATTCTGTTCCCACGAGTAGGGTCGATTAACACGTCACAAGAGGGGTGACGCCCATTCCCTCAAGAAGGCAATATACAACGGAGTTTGCCAGGTCCACCGAGGTTGGCGCTAAGGACTTGCCTCTTGCAAGCCATGCATCCCATCGGCACGTGATCCCACCTTAGGATTAGGGTAACTTTTTAAAGAGGTGTTCTACCTCGCGGCCCGGGCGGCTAAGCCAAGGCCCTCGATTCTGTGGATGCACAGAGTTGCGAGTTGTGGCGGTCATTTCCTACCTCCAACAGGTTCTGGCTTGTTAGGCCAGGGTTTTATCGGGTTAATTACCGTCGCCCGATGCTCGACGTTGATCTTTTATGGTTGGTTAGATCTCCACTCAGCCAACCCTCCTCTTTTCTCATACGGGCTTGGGACCGTCAATGGCAGAGTTGGACATGGACAGAGAGAGAAAAACGAAAATAAAAAATTTATAAACAAACATTTCTTAATTTTATTTTAAATGTTCGTTTTTTTGTGTGGATTATGAAAAAAAAAATATCAACTTCATTTGATTATTTAAAAAATAGTTATCAACAATTATATGTGAATGAGTGTATTTTCATGAACATTTAAAGCCTTGAAACCAATATAATATAATTTTTTTTATTGTAATTTTTTTTATAAACCCGCCGTAATAATGATGATTTTTCGATGTTCAGAGCCAAAAACCGAGGTGACCGCGATAGTATAAAATTACCAAAGTTTTATACTATCGCGGTTAAATGTTAAAACTGCCTTCCTTGCAAACGAGACATCTTTTAAAAAACGATCGGGTTATCAGACGGGCGAATCATCCTTTATTAACAAAGTCAAGTGATTCTGTTATTCTTTGCTGTAGTTCAGCTATGTTTTCGATTGACTTTGAGTAAACTTTTTCTTTCACCGCTCCCCCGTAAAAAAATCTAGTGGATTTAAGTCAGGTGAATGGGCTGGCCAGGAGATTATACCAGACTGCCTTATCCATCTGCCTGGGTGTTTCTCATTGAGATATTCTTTAAAGGAGCGGTCATAGTGTGCCAGGCAGTAGTCTAACTGGAACCACATATCACTACAAATACTTAGTGGCACATCTTCCAACAAATTTGGTAAATAACTTTGTAAAAAATCCAAATAAACTTAGCTATTCAAGACTTCTGGCAGCACGAAAAGTCCACAGTTTTCTCGACTTTTTTTTTTTGAAATGCCTATTATTTTAAAAAATATGTAACCTACATAAATGTTGTATTTTATTTTTCTGACAACTATCATGACTTTGCCAATCAACCGTTACCAGCTTGACGTCGATTTTTGAGACAACCTATATATATGTATATTTTAGAAATTTAATTTTTGCAAGCCGCGTCAGTGTGCGGGTTTGTCACTGCGCACTGTAATGGTTGATTTTTTTCGAGAGATATTCGCCATCAGTAAAAATATGGGGTTGGCTATAGATATCCGGTAATTGATTTTAATAATATTTTAAGTCTGGGAGGCTTGTTAGGGTTAAGCTTGAACCTATTACACTGTTTTTAGATGTCGGAAATGCGTTTTGAATTAATTACGATAAAAACAAATTTCACGAAAAATTGCTTATAACGAAATGCAAATATGTCAATTTGTTCTCGTATTATGAAGTAGACGTCAAGTACTTAATTTTATTTTCAATTTAAGAGCCCTATCAGGGTTAACCTCGAACATTTTACACTGTTTTTGGATTTCGGAAATGCCTTTTGAATTAAATACGATAAAAATAAATTTCACAAAAATTGCATATAACGAAACGCAAATATGTCAATTTGGCTTTTTTTAATACAGATACACTCATAAAAAGTTAATCACTCGCAACCAGACCATCCAATTGTGGCTGAAGACGGGACTTATATACCACAAATTGAGTCGCAGTGGAGAGCAGTCAAGAGGTTTTTCAGAAAACAAAATTAACAGTTCACATTACATTATTTCATTTACCACTATCATAGCAGACTTTAGGGCAACCTGACTTTATAAATAAGATTCGTTCTAAAACCGAAACAGCACGCCCCAACTCCACAAAGTCTTATTTGCCCTACCCCTAGAGTGTTTTAGTAAAGCCGTAGGCGCTGAGGGAGTGCAGCCCCAACCTGCTGTAGCAAATTGCAGGCACCTGTACGAGCCGTAGCAGCCGAGGTTGGTCACCAAAGGCGACCAATAAGCCGAAGCTGTGGAGGTGAGCATGGGTGACTGAGATTTGCTACGCAAGGGCGAAGGGGCTGCACTTCCCGCAGCGCCGAAGCTGTTACAGAAGTAACTTTGTGTCAATATTCCTGTGTAAAAAAGTGAGGTTATGATTATACAAAAAAAATTACTCAAACTATACATTTCCGCAAAGGGGGAAGGGTAGAGGAGACCTCCCCTGAACCCTTCCACTCTCCCCTCCCCCTACCACCACCGTACGCGAGTACCGGATGTCTATAGTTTAACCAAAATATGACTACCAGTTTTTCAAAATAGAGTATATGACAGGTATATTCATTGTGGGTGCCAAACGTACACCATTTGGCACGTTCGGCGGAGTGTTTCGCAACACGACGGCCTCGGAACTGCAGACTACTGCCATGGTGGCCGCCCTGCGTGAAGCCGGAGTGGCGCCCACTCAGGTCGACAGTGTAGTCGTCGGGCAAGTTATGCCGGTGAGTTTCTCACTTCTTAACACCTAACAGTTGCTTAAGTTACGATGATAAATTATATTATTTATTTATTAAATAAAGGTGACAAACAAACACACAGTCCACCTAATATTAAGTGGATTCTGTGACCCATTGTCTCCTCTGATGACTAAAATGGAAAACCTGTTCCAGTAAAAAGGGGTCTCTGGTTCCCTACACTAATAAAACAAAACACTATTTCACGCTGGTATTTTATGAGAGTGTAGTCTTTCCATGTACGAGCCAACACATTCATGCTACAACTATAATATAGCTTCAGCATGGTTCTACCACATGAAGCATTAAAATTATTGAATATGTTGCTTCGCTATAAAGGAAGATTTTACAAGGAGATTTTATTGATTTTAGAAATTAGACTATGAATTTAATAAGACACATCACCAAATAATTTGAAAAGTGATTTTCAGTACTGAAGCTATAAATTTGTTCAGGTGTCTCAAGTCGATGGGTCTTACATCCCAAGGCACTCGTCTCTCAAGGCGGGCATACCGCAGGACCGGCCGGCACTCGGCGTCAACCGACTTTGCGGCTCTGGGTTCCAATCCATTGTCAACAGCGCACAGGTATTGAATACATGTACTACTTAATTTTATCATAGCTTTATTAAAAGAAAGTAGTTAATGCCTTCTGCCCCCTGCCTTCAACTTGCTGCAATCTTCGCCTATGGAAACTGGTTCTGGTGTGGCCGTAACATATTAATCGCGGCACGTAACTCTAGCGCTGAACGAAACTTGTAGGGGATAGCTGCGAATGTCGTGTCAGTACGAGGGACGGAATCCAACTGGAGAGCCAATCATACGCAATAATGCGCAATACGGCTAGTCACCGCTGGACTTTCGTGCCGCGAATTGTATCAGCCTCCAAACATCGCCATATAAGAGTTCGGTGCTTTTCGTAAATATAAGCAGGGATTTTGCCATAATCAACAAGCTTAGCATCAAGTCATATTTGATAAACACATTACTGGACCATCAAAGTGGCGGTGTGAGTATATTCCCTACCCAATATTGTTCCACGAGTATCGTAAGAGGCGACAGAGGGAAACAAACCAAGAGCAGCAGCATCCTCTTAATAACAAAAACTGCAGTTGCCAACTCGCCCGCTAGGAGTGGTGACCGGGAAGATATCACTCCTGAGAGGCAATCTAGTCCCCACTAGGCTTCCCCAAGCCTTTGTTCAGCCGTGGACTTTTAATAGACTGTAATGGTAACATTACTGGATGTTGTTGCCCATATAACCTAGATTTATTATTCACGTCAGCATAAATTTTCCATTTACTTACAGGATATTCTCACTGGTGCAGCCAAAATATCTTTGGCTGGTGGAGTAGAGAACATGACCCAAGCTCCTTTCGCTGTTCGTGGCGTTAGATTCGGAACAGCTTTGGGTACTTCTTATGCATTTGAAGATACATTGTGGGCGGGACTTACTGACACCTTCTGTGGACTGCCCATGGGTATGACTGCGGAGAAACTTGGTGGACAGTTTGGAATTACTAGGGACGAGGTTGACAACTTTGCTTTGAAGTCCCAACAGAGATGGAAAGATGGTGAGTTTATAGATAATTATTATTTTTTTATAGGGTAGGGTGACAAACGAGCACGCAGTCCACCTGATGGTAAGTGTTTGCTGTGGCCCATAGACATCTACGTTTATCCTTGCTTACGAATCAAAATGCAGATGAGTTCACCTTTAAGGACTAATATGGAATACCTCCACTCACCACACGAAACACAGCAGTATTAAACTACTATTTTACACTGGTATTCTGTGTGTGAGCGTGGTCCTTCCCCGGTCGAGCCGACCCGTTGGTGCTACAACTATGCCAGTAATATAGCTGCAGCGTGGCCTACCACATTTAAAAAAACCTGTAATGGATGGGGAATGATAATGATTTTAAGTTTTTTCTTGTAAGTACAATAGGATAAAATCCAATAAAGTAATGCAAACATTCTTACACAGCCAACGATGCGGGAATATTTAAAGCAGAGATTGAACCAATGACACTGAAGATCAAGAAGAAGGAGGTGGCTGTGGAAGTGGACGAGCACCCTCGTCCCCAGACCACGTTGGAGGGACTCAAGAAGTTGCCGCCTGTGTTCAAGAAGGATGGTTTGGTTACTGCTGGAACTGCTTCGGTAAGCAATAATTTGAGATTTCAGATATTTATAAAATACTTTCTGTGCATTATAAGTTATAATGCTATGCTAAAAGTAGTTTTGTGAAAGCAGCTAAAAGTAGTTGCGTAAAGTTTAATAAATAATTAAGTAAATACAGTTTGTAGCTCGAAATAACTTTAAATGTCTTCAATCAACAATACCAACTAGGTAATGGGTCACATACAAGATCATAGCTGAATACTGTCCGCGTACTAGTAGTACTACAATATATACTTAAACAGCTACAATTGTTTACTAAAGAAATGAGACAAAAAATTAAAATAATTTTAAGTTCAACCTAATTACAACTATGACATCTAGTAATAAAGTCACAAATCTTACGATCATTAGTCACAAAAAAAGAACAAAGTAAAAATATAAAATAAAATAATTTTTTATTCAATATAGATTACAAGTAATTCTTATTAAAAGTCAATATTTTACATTACCACTGGTTCTGGTTCTGGTGAGACTTCTAATCTTTTTTACAGCATAAGCTGCAGAGCTTAATCTGCTTGCTGGTTTAGATATATGGGGGCCCCACTGAAGCTTAGCGTCGAGAGTGATGCCAAGAAAAACAGAGGACTCAACAGGACTCAGTTCTTCCCCATTTAAAAACAACACACACAGGATTATTAACATTTGCTGTTGTAAATTTAATACATTTAGTTTTATTGCCGTTTAAATGTAGATTATTAACGTTAAACCAATACACTAATGTCGATATAGCATTATTCACTTCGTCACATTTAAATGATTGATGTTTAAGTTTAAAATTCAAGGAAGTATCATCAGCAAATAATACTATATCATGATTATCCCCTACAAGGGAGGGTAAGTCATTAATATACACTAAAAATAGAAATGGGCCAAGTATTCAGCCCTGAGGGACACCCATCTGTAGGGGCCATCCGGAAGAACTTTTACCATTGATAACAACTTTCTGCACTCTATTACTTAAATATGAAATAACTAGTTCAAGCGCTGTGTTCTTGACACCATAGCACTGTAGCTTCCTGATTATTTGTCTCATGGTGAACACAGTCGAAGGCCTTGGAAAAGGTCACAAAATATACGTATATTTTGTGACCTTTTCAAGCATCATCTGAATTCTCCCATGCACAAAAAATATATTTTATAAACTCAACTCTGGCATCGGTTCTCGAGCGGTTCTCCCCTTGTAAAACCAAATTGACTTGTATGGAGCAATTCATTTTAATTAAAAAAAACCTTATCTCTCTTTACTTAAACTATCTCTATTTACTTAAAGTTGGTAGTACAGAAATTGGCCTAAAATTGGCGGAGTCTGATGTACTACCAGATTTTAATAAAGGTATAACTTATACTATGTTTCATTAAATCAGGAAACACACAAATTTCGACGCTTGTATTAAAAATAGTGGCTAGATAAGGTGCTATTGTGTCTATTACGGATGCAATAACTTTAATGGAAATCCCCCACAAGTCTGCCGTTTTCTTAACATCAATAGTTTTAAAATATTTAATGATATCTTTTGGCAATACTCAATGGAATTTAAAAATAATTGGACAAGCCTTTACATTTTGTTTAAACAATGATTCGGCGATAGTAGGCGAAAAATTTAATGATTTCGTTGTCAAAAAAGGAACATCAGTAAAATGTTTCTCAAAAGCCATAGCAACTTCTCTTCTTGATCAGATTGAGTCAAATTATTGTTAATATTCAATTGAAGATCAGAGTTGCGTGGTTTAACCTTGCACAAATTATTTTATGTTTTTGTGTATAATATGATTATTTAATTTATAAGTGTTTTATGTGTTGTAAAAAAATTAATAAACTGCAAGTACACTTTTTGTTTTTCAAATGTATGTAATATTGGCAGCTGGCAAAGGTGTCTATAGCTGGATGACACAAATATAAATATCACTAAACTTCACATCTTTATATTAATCTTTATAATACAAGTATATTTCAGTGCAATCAAGAAATCATGAATAAAAAATATTTATAACAGAAACAGAAATTGCACACTTTAACGAATTGCTAGGGAAACTAAAATAAAAAAAAAACAGACAAAAGTAGCAATTACCATTATTTAAAGTTTTGATAACATGTTATGTTCCGCTTCACAAATGTTTACGCGTGTATTGGCCAACCTTGGCAAAACATTTGTAGGGCTGGTTTTAATCGGTAATTTTGTTTCAAATATGATATTATTTGTTGGTTTAGAGCTTACAACATAACTTATTATACATATACTTACGGGAAGTAAGACACTCCGGCCGTTAAATTGCTTTTCCAGGCATTATTTTTGCAACGTTTAAATACATATTGCGGCATTGTGAAACGTGTTTACATTGGCTGTGTTTCAAGTCAACTAAACGAAATAAGAGGTCACGTCTCATGTGCGCTCTTATTTACTGAGACGTATTTTTTGCGCCGACCCGACATCTAGTTAGTATTATTGATCGAAGTTAAGTGTAGTCCAGCATAAGAAAGCTTAGACTGCTTTATTGGTTAATTGTCGTAAACATAGAATACTATAATACACAATAGAATGGCTGTCAACCTTAGTTTGTAGGAGGATTGGCTTCGCCGGGAGCACACATACAAGCAACTACGTCGTATTATCAGTTATCACTACTACAAACACATTTTGGACTTTTGATTACTGATTTTGACACAAATATTTCTTTATTTTTCGACTTCTTTGTTTCGACTTACTGGTTGTAGGATATGTCTCCTTTATTTAAATTCCATTTCCCGCTGTTCTTTCGACACATACTTATTGCGCAATTTGTCATTTTTTAAATAATTTGCATGCAGCGGCGCTTGACACGAAAATTGGAAACAATTGATTGTGTTGACATTTATATAACTCGTACGAATTAACTTGAGACCTGGACTGATGACGTAATTGTCAATGTACGGTGTGCAAAATAATGCGTCGTAATATTTTTTTATTTGAAATTTTTGAGATTTGCATGAGATTATTAATAAAAACAAAATAAAATGTTCTGGCAAGGGGTGAAGTAATAAGTGATATACTGTCGCCATTTTTATATATTTTAAATATTTATTTTTTATAATATATATAATATTATTTTTAGTTAACGCGTCAAGGAAGGACAAAAAAATAAACATACACACTTTCTCATTTATAATATTATTAATTTATTTATTATACACTTTATTGCACTATAAAAAGTGTTACAGATTCGTACACAATGAAACTTTTTATTTGATTTTTCATCTTCGAAAAATTTTAAAACTTTTAGTGCAAGTGTCCGTGCTTGGCTATGTATCTTTCCTCCCATCTTTTTTTAAAAATAAAAAAGGCGGAGTAAGTCACAAGAAAACGGCACAACACAACGTCCAAACTTAACAATAAAACAACGCAATTAACAACAAACAGATAAAATAACGTTCAAGTATAACAAAAACAAATAAAAGTCCAAACCAAACAATAAACAATTATCAAAAATATCGAACTAGAGTCGAGACGCGTATCCGTAACAAAAATGCTATCGGTACTGAGCGCGAACGGCCAGCGCGGGACGCGGTGTGTGGAGTCGGGAAGGGGGTCGCATTACAGCGGAGTCTCAAGTTAATTCGTACGTGTTGTACGTGTGAATTGACGTGTTAGTTACATGTAAGTGGCTACACGGGCTGCGCCCACTCCCCCGTTCTATTGTGTATGTATTATAGTATTCTATGGTCGTAAACGCAATTCTCATCATGTCATCCTGGTTCGGTTCAAAATCAGTTATTTGAGTCTTCTGTCAAGAAATTCTTAGTAGCAGCTGAGTGTCAGGAAGTTGGCGGTGTTTCACGCCCGTGTTTGTCGCCTTTAATTCTCTGATAGATCTTCCTCAGCTCGTGTCTTATGTCGGGTGTAGATAATGCAAATAGCTTGTCTCCGTTGAGAACTAGCCACGGTGTCCGAAAATTTGGTCAGGAAAACATTTTTATGATTTTATGTACTGCTTTGTCTCTATTCTAAAAATAAAAAATAAAAAAAAATATCCAGAAGAAACTTTTCCAGGCTGAATATATATTTATGTATGTGTTATGTATGTTAAACGCTTTTTCAATACATGTTTATCCTGTAGTGTGGGGGTAACAGTCTAGAAAAAAAAACTTTAATTAGTTACACAAATATTAAAGCTCTTGTGGAATTTGAACCTCAGATACTTCGTATTAATAGCCAGGTATTCTCACTACTAGGTCACGCGGTTGTATCTGTTTGTATATAATGTATTTATTTTATGCATCGATCACTAATAAAACTAGATACACAATCAGTGACAAAAAACGACTCACCGAATGAGCACCCATTCGAACATTTGGGTGCGCTTTTAATCTAGTTACATTCGAACGCTCCGACGGTAAACATGCCTCAGTGCTCGTTTAAAAAGTGTAAAAATGTAAAAATCACAAATCCAGGACGCTAAAAAAGGATGGAATTTCCTAATTTCGGTACGTATTAATATTATCATTATTTAATTCTTATCACTGTATTGTAAATACTTATATTTTGTCAAGAAATCTCCGTAAAACATTTTTTAAATTAAGTCTTAATAAAATAAGTCATAATTGTTCGAGGTATGCGCGTTGACTCTGTTCCATTTGTTGGAGACGTTATTATTTTTTTTTATTATTAAAGTATGATTGTTTTTTTTTTCGTTTAATGAGACTTCTATAGTTTCTCTAAATATTATGGAACATTTTATAGACTTAATTTTGAATATGTGCATGTAGTAAAATTAAAGATGTGAGATTTTATTTTTAATTTTTCAGCTTTCCTCGAGACCCAGTTAGGTGTGCAGAATGGATTTCAGTCATAGAATATCAAAGGTCAAGAATTCTTCAGACAAGGAAGCGTTGTAGAGTAGTGAGCTTTTAAAAATGATGATATGTGACTAACTTTTTCTGTACATACTTTTTATATTTAGTAACTATTGAATTAAGATTTAAGTTCTTTGTCAAGCAATATTTTTAAATTATTGACATAAGATGAAGAATAAATAAATAATTATGACTGTTTCAAGTACTTTCGTTACTAAATGAATGTGGTGTCCTATCCAAAAACGTATTTACTTTCAGGTAAATTATAATCATTACATATAATACACCATAGAAGAGAATAGAATATGCTTTATGTACACCAGTTTATAAACCAAGTTTGAAACATTTTAAAATTAAAATAAAATAACATAATAATATTGGGCATTTGCCCAATAATATTGGGCAGTTCGACTCCAATGATTCCTTGCCCAAGATAGAAGCCTCAGTCATAAAAAATTATTGCTTTTTGTACGTATCTTTGTGAATACAACTATAGGCAATGTATTTAAGGTTGAATTTACATAAATGTATATTTATTTCAACTAGAATTACGTCACAACAATTGGCGACAGTTTTTAGAGAACTTTTGTATGGGATTGTGTATCTAGTTCTTTATTAGTGATCGATGATTTTATGCAATATTTATTTTATCGGAGGTGCAAATTGTTGGGATTTAGGTTTGGTTATTCTGTTTTTCTAGTCCTTATTTTTTGTAATTTCTATTTAATTGCTATATATATATATATATATATATATATATATATATATATATATATATATATATATATATATATATATATATATAAATTTAGTTTATAAATTCTAATGCAATTATCTAATATGGGAAAATATTCTTACTAGGGTATAAGCGACGGTGCTGGAGCACTAGTCCTCGCGAGCGAAGAAGCTGCCAAGAACTTGAAGCCATTAGCTCGGCTGGTGGGCTGGTCGTATGTAGGCGTAGACCCCAGCATTATGGGCATTGGACCTGTTCCAGCTATTGAGAACCTGCTCAAAGCCACTAAAATGACCCTGAACGATGTGGACCTCATTGAAGTATGACTATTTTATTGTTTACTTTGATGTTTAAGTGTGTAAAATATTTTTTTAATAAATAATATCAATCACCCCATTTCATCCTTGTAAGAAGCAAATATGGGAAATGCCTAAAAACTAGTCCATCGCATGATGGTGTTGTAAACCATATTGCATACCATAGGAAATAATGTATAAAATACTAACAAATTGAATAAAAAATAATTTGACTAATGATTTCTGTATTTACACAAATACTACACATTGATTAAAACTACTTTTTTTATAGGATAGGGTGACAAAATAGCACACAGTCCACCTGATGGTAAATGGTTGCTGCGGCCCATAGACATCTACATCTATCCTCAATTACAAATCAAAAATCAAAATGCAGATGCGTTGTCACCCGTGAGGACTTAGATGGAATGCCTCGTTTACAGTAACAAGGGTCGCGGATTTTATCGTGTTTAATTTATTTGATTTTTAATTTCCGACGTTTCGGATGCTTTCCAGCACCCATGGTCATGAGGGACTGAGGTGACTGATGTCCCGATGTCTGTGTTAACTTGGAGTACCTTCAGTTTTTAATTTAATAATAATTTAAATTTCTCTATTGAAATTAGGATGTTTTTAATTTCAATAGCCGCATGTATCATCCTTGGTAAGAATCGATGTTTTTTTTGCGAGAATTTGTGGTCTATCAAATCTGATGTAATGGTTTGGACCGTCTAGGATAGGCTGTGGTCATCTATCATTAAAATTATATGTTACCTCTAAACGAGACTTACAGTATATTAATTATATACTACTAGCGATCCGCCTCCGTCTTCGCACAGGTGATTTCTGGATCTCGACAACTGCTCCACCTACCGGTTCCAGTTAAGTTATAAACCGTCCAGGGACCCAATCAAATACACAGAAAAGAATTCATCAAAATGGTTCGAGCCGTTTTCGAGTTTTAGCGAGACTAACGGATAGAAACTTATTTTCATATATAAGATATTACTATCCTGACTATAAAAAAACCTAATTTCATAATTCTAATTTTTAAATATGCTGGCTTGCGGAGTAAGATATCACATCAGCAGGCCGTCAAGAAGCTGTGTTAGGGGGCGTCCAAGTGTTACGTAACGTAATTTTTGAAAATTTTTGGCCCTCCCGCCCACTCATGTAACGCGCCGTAACGTTTTCTGTACCCCCCTCCACCTCTCTAAACGTACCGGAAAGTGGCTAACATACCTTATGTTGTCACTTTCCGGTACTTTGCGCTTGCTTTTCTTCTTTGTGACCTTGAACTCTCATATAACATCATTTATATGTTCTATAAACTTTTCTTTATTATTCAGTTTTTCTTTAGCCGGTTTCCAAATTTCATTGGCATTTTTTTAGCACAATTGTTCTGGTAAGTCAGCATTAAAACCTTTATGAGCCAAGAACAGCTGGTAATGCAAATCTCCCTCTTGTAAAACAAACGAAAAGGGTTGCTAGCTTGGGAGATTTTAATTCCCTCGTTTTTTATTTAAATAAAACATTGTTACGTAGTGCGTTGTTCGAAAACCCCCTCCCACCCCTGTAACGCATTGTAACGTTGAACAAGACCCCCCACTCCCCCTAAATTGCGTTACGTAATACTTGAACGGCCCCTTACTATGGAGTGCATTTTTGCAGATCAACGAAGCGTTTGTGGCCCAAACGCTGTCCTGTGCGAAGGCACTCAAGCTGGACATGGAGAAACTGAACGTGAATGGTGGCGCTACGGCCGTAGGTCATCCTCTCGGCGCTTCTGGATCCCGTATCACTGCCCACCTCGTTCACGAACTCGGGTACGATAGTTTCACGTATTATTTATAGATTTTTTACGTGGTAGAACGATACTTAAGTTATATTACGATTGTGGCCCGAATGGGTCGGTTTGAACGGGGAAGGACCACGCTCTCACAAATTACCAGCATAAAATAGCAGGTTAATGCTGCTGTGTTTTGTATGGTGAGTATAGAGAACTAGAGACCCTTTTTATTGGAAATTAGGCATTCCATCGTAGTCCTCAGGGGTGACAATGCATATAAAAAAATTCTACATTACAAACACATTCTACTTTGACCAAATCCATTAAAGACCAGTTTTTATCAACTTAAAACGATTTATTTAAATAAAATGGTTTATTAAATGGGTTGTAAAAGAAAATGAAACTTTTGTTAAATATAGAAACCGACTTTGATGATTTAATATTTGATTCCACAGACGGCGCGGTTTGAAGAGAGCTATCGGATCAGCTTGCATCGGCGGTGGCCAGGGCATCGCTCTTATGGTAGAGGCCGTCTGACTTGATAAAACATATCATTACACTTATATATATTTTAAGATTTGTTATATGCTATTTGTCATGCTCGTCCACTTAACGAGTCTTTATAGGGTATTACACCCATTCATCAAAAAGTGTTTCAAATGAATCATAGAGTGATAATGAACCACTATAATTTTGATATAATTTTTTTAAACCGAATAGTACCATAAAAATTACTTTTAATCTATCGTTTTGAATTTTCGCATGCAAACGCTAGCCGTCATACTGTTCTACTCGTGACGTCACTGTTCTAGAATTTCGCAAAGGAATAAGATACCTTTTAATATTCAATTATGAGTTATCATCTTTATCATTGTTGTGTTGTGCCTGAATGCAAAACTACAAGCATAAGAACGCCAGGAAAGTTATGGATTCGAGTGCCAACTGATTTAATATAAGAAATACTTGGTTAAAACTGGCAAGAAAATACCCCAATACATATGTCTACAAAAACTAGACTATTCTTCTGTTAAGATCAATTTGATGTAAGTATGACTTATATTTTACTATCTTTTAATACAAAACAAAACATCTTGAGATGGAGAGTATTGCAAGTCAAATTTTGTAATAAATTACGTTAACTTAGATATTATAAGTAATGATTGCTAATGATTGTAATTATAGATAAACTAAATGTACTGTTTCACCATAACATTCCCACCCCAAAATCGTGAAGCGTTCCACATTTTTACATTGTAAAACAAAGAATTCACAGGTGTACACACGTACGTGTACAACGATGGAATTATTTATCTTCATGATATATCTTAACAAAACACATTGGACTTAAAAATGGAAAAATGGAAATGGAAAAAATGTAAAGAAACATTCACTTCATTGGTACATCATATTGATTATGGAAATGAAGAGAGTTGTTCATTTTCAAATTTAAAGAAAAAATATTGCTTTATATCAAATTCCGATGCAAGCTCACAAATGTACATTAAATTGTATTCAACCCATTGAATATATTGGGAACCATCTGCATCCTCACCATGGTCGGATTGCAAACGCTCTGACTCCCTCTGGTTCCCGAGAGGGAGCGTGGTTATGTAATGTAATGTTTTAATATACTAGCTCTTTAGATTGCGTGTCCGGTGACCTACACTAAACAATGATAGCTCCTAAACTATGTTTTATTAAAATACACTCTGACGTGATAGTGTTTTTGTATAAACAAAAGTAAGTAGGTAATAGGTACTTACATTGATGTTTTAACATTTCTCAACTCAGCAGAACAAGAATTGGTATTGTATGCAAAAAAATTTGCCACCATCAATTTATTTATTCTTGGCAGATGAGAGAGAGACTTTCTGTTTTTACTTTTCTTCCATGACGCCTTTTCAATAAAATTCGGAATAAAACTCAATAATTGAAATAACAGAACACATTAGCTAGTTCTCTTAATCAGTGACACAGAACCAATAATACCATAACGCAGGATCAGTGACGTCACGGCAGTTTCTTATATGGCGGACAGCGTTTTGCGGCACAGACAAAAAATTCTTAAAATTAAATTATAAAATTTATAATGCAGTTTTATAAATAAAAATAAATATTTCTCGTGTACTTTTTACAAAATCTATAATAAAAAATATCCTATTATTATTAGGCTCTTACATAAGAGTTTTTTTTAATTTTTTTAAATAATGCAAAGGACTTTGACGCTAAGGTACCACATCCTCCCATAAAACTTGTTTACATAGATATTGTTAACCGATTCGTTGTGACACTAATTTACGACTTTTAACTGTGGCGGCGAACAAATATTTCGTGACACGCCTGTTGTGTCAAGCACCATAGAAGTTGATGACACGCCTATTGTGCCATCAGCCATGTGTAAAAAATAATGTTCTTTGATATGCTTTTTCACTTGTTTTATCTTTTCACTTTGTTAGGTCAATACGGCCATATGGTAGTAATAAGACGGCAGTTCGAGCATTTTAAGCAAAGTAAGACTAACGCATTTTTTTAAATAGGATACGTGTTATCCAGAAACTTGTTTGAGTGGTATTATTTCTTACTTATTAGAGTATTTTTCTACAACATGGTTTGAAAAAACCCACTCAGTGAAAAGAGTACCACCATCTATAAGTTAAAAAAGGATGTCAACTCCTAAAATTTTCAAATTCTCAAAATATCCAGAAATGAAATTTTTTGTTTTGGATAAATCTTCCAAAAACGCAATTTGAGCGAGTTATAACGATTTTTAGAATGACACTACTCGCGTGCCATACGCCACATAGAAAAATAGTCGATGGCTAGTCTGGTGTGCCATCCGCACTGAATCGGTTAATGAGAGAATTGATAGTTGTTATAAGATCAGGGGTGGCTTAATATCTTAAAACTAATGAAAATTTTGTGAATACCCACTTTAAAATTATATTTTTATAAGAACGCTGTATTATATATAGAGGTTTTTTGGATTGGTTATTTGTAAATGGTTCTTGTAGACACAGCTAAGCTACATGAATTGTTAATTATGTAAGCGATTATTATTGTATGGTATTGTTTTTGAGAACGGATTTTATATCTTTTATTTTTATTGAAAGTATGTAATTTATAGTATAAGTAAAGGTGAGAAATTCTAAATACTATGTGAAATAATCCAGTAGTTTTTACAGTATTTGCATTTTCTAGAATTTGTTATCAATCCGCTGTAGCGGGTCTTGTGATTGACTGTGCAGTAAATATTATTTCCTACAATAAACCTTATTTTATTTTAGTAAGACTGTTTGCATCATGTTAAGAGTTCATGGCATTAATACCATTCTTACCTATTTGAAATCATACTAACTACTGTAAATAGGCTATATCACAATATAACCTATTTACAAATACATATACAAATAACTCTATAAAGAGTCTGCCAGACTTGTCGACATTAAACGACAACGAGGTAGCTCAATTAAAGGATACCATTAATGAGTTGAGATCACAGCTAGATAGTGCACATAACGAAGTTCAAAATTTACTGACGGAAAACCATAGCCTCCAAAAGATTATTAAGACCAGAAAAACAAAATTAATCAACTAACAACAATCTGCACTTCAAATAAAAAACAAACAAGGAAAATCAACAGAAGTAATAATGTGGCTAAAAAAGATAGATTTTTCTGAGAAAACAGTCGCTCACTCTTTTAAAAAACTGTCCTCCAACTTCCTCAACATACAATAAATCATGTGAGAATTATTATAATGTAAAAAGTGTAGAAACCTCTGCTTTTTGCTGCTCATCGAAAGAAAATAACAACATATCAACCACTAAGAACGCATCAAGTCAGTCTCCAGACACATTGCCCTCAACAAATCAAACCAAGAGTGAAACTGATAGCGTCACCAACCAACGAAGGAATACTGATAGCGTTACCAAAAGACGCTTATTAATATTTGGAGCTCAACGTTGTAGTAAGTTAGCATCTAGATTGACCAAATTACGTTATAATACTAAATATGTACATTACGATATATACGGCTGCATTGAACCTTTTGCAACAACTGAGGAAATATAAGAAACTTCGAAACTCTTGCACTAAAACCTGATGATAAAATAATAAAATAAGCATAGGAGAAAACGATTTTAACCCAACAAAACTATTTATAGAAATATCAGCTGTCCTAACAAAATTGCGTTCTCACTGTGTAATAGTTTTAAGTGTTAATTATAATAATTACTTAAATATTCGACTGCTTAATAACAAAATAAAACTAATATGTAATAATTTTTTCTAATTGTTATTACGTTGACACTTTTGAAAAATATGAAAATAATATTTATAATTATAACATCAATTATAGTTTATCGCAAAGGTTGAATTTTTTTTATAGACTGCATAGATTATAAAACCACCTATTCAAATGGTAATAAGACTGGTGTATCACGCATTTTGTCAGAAAGAAACTATCAAAAAAGTTGTTATTCAAACACTGTATGTTGCCCCGATCTAAAGAATACCCCTACACTTAAGCAGAAAAGTATTCTAGATTATTTTTCAAAAGTCTTGCCTGAAAACGTATCTAACCCCAGTTTTACTCAGCCTTTTTTCGCATTTAACATTACTTCATCAAAATATCGCGGGATTATTGAACAAAACTTATATGTTAGAATTGTGTGTCAATGAATTGACAGGAAATGGTAAAGAAATTACTCTTATCTGTCTCACCGAAACATTTGTAAAAAAAAGGAGAAGAATCTAACATTAAACTGAAAAACTTCAAAGTTGCCTCCACATTCTGCAGATCAAAAGTAAGATGTGGTGGAGTGTGTATACTCACAGATAAAACACTTCTCTCTAAGCCCATAAATTTATGTAATGAAATATCGGTTGAAAAATATTTTGAATGTTGTGGAATTGAGGTACCAGCCTACAAATGCAAAATAGTCTGCGTGTATAGGATACCGCAATCACCGGCTTCCGTATTTTTTAATAAGCTGGATACACTACTATTTAAAATAACGACTAAGAGCAACATGAAACTTATTCTATGCGGTGATTTCAATATTGACACGCTAAAAGACAACAGCACAACCGAAGAGTTATCAAACTTAATGCATAACTATAATCTTAAACTTCACATTAATAAACCGACTCGTCAAAACAAATGCATTGATCATATATCCAGTAACATAGACCATCCCTATAGTTCCTTATATGAGTTCAACATGTCAGACCATAATACAAGTCAATTACTAAGCTTTCCGGTAATAAAACAAAGAAAACTTAAATATATGTATGTAACTAAAAGAAATTATAGCAAAGAGAACAAACAGAAGTTCAAAACGTCAATGGCAGCGCTTTCCTGGACGGAAATCGACGTAGAAGATCTTAATTCAGCATTCAATAACTTTCATGAAATGTTTTGCTTACTATATAATCTTTGCTTTCCTATTCAAAGATGTAAAATAAGTTTTAGCATTCAAGCACCTGAATGGATTACTACGGGTATTAAAATATCAAGTTATACTTGATATTTTAATA